TCCCTAACGGAAGCCCTTTCCATCCCGGGCAATCGTCGAATGGCTTCCCAAAACAAAACCTTGGGCGAAAGGGCAACTCACAAGCAAGATGTTTATGGCGAAACTGACAAAAGTTTTTCCCATGCATTCTATAGAGGCCATTCCTCCTAAACAATCAGACCGGCTGTAAATTTGCTGGCTTATTCAGGCATTACCAAGTCCCGAGCCTCACGCTACATGTTGCTGATGAGCGCAAAATGGAAAAAGAGAGAGTGCAACAATTTTGAGGCAGGTTTGTCGCCTGGACCGAGGGTATTGATTATTTCTGTGTGGCGAGAGATTTGGAAAATTCAATTAAAGGAGCTGAGCAAAGGATTCATAAATCGGCCCCTGCCTCCACCTCTTCTACACCCATACAGAGACATTGTTATGTTCTTAATCAGTGTTGCACTTCACAATATATTTTCTTTGCAGCATGAAAATAAATAACATTTAAACAGTTCTGCTTACCGCTGAAACTAATTTTATCTTCACGCCGCGGCCTCCCGTGCACATCAGCAGATGTAGTAACGCATTTTTATGGCAAGTTTTCCATAAGAAAATCCTATATAATATGAAATTTGAGATGACAAAATGAGAAGGAAGGGGACGGATCAGCAGTATAAAAATTGATCAGGCTGCAGATGGGGTCGAGCCGTGGGAGATTTGTAAGACAGCCTTAATAGACTGTATTAAAAATTCCTTAAAATGTAATAAAACAAATAGGTTTTTGGTTCTTGGCCGGGATGGGGTCACAGACCCTGCTAATATCACATCAATCCTGGGCTGCTGAAGGATAAATGGGGTCTGTTTGGGGAACATTTTAGTCTTTTTGATGGAAAACACCAGCACAATTAAAGGGCTGCTGTATGTTAGAGGGCTTTGGGTGGGGAGGGTAGAGTTGAGCAACTCTCAGCATATGTTTTGGTCTCTGATACGAACGCCTGTTATGTCCACACGTCCTGCAGGAGTATAAAAAGCATTTAGTCAATGCATTCAGAGGCATTTCAGATCATTTGCATTTAGATCATCTAGCAGCTCTGGCAGCTGCAGCAGTCTACAGAATCCATGACTGATGCATGGATTTACCTGATAAGTTACATGTGCACGTGTCTCATTCATGTATTCACAAAATGATCTAGTCTCTTAAGCTAGATCAAGTGTGTGGTAATCTATCTATGTTGCTTTCACAGGGTTGAAACAGACTGGGAGCTCTTATGAATTTCTGAAGGCAATCTTAAGGTGTGTGTGTTTTTTTCTCTGTCTACCTGGGTTGTTATTATACTCATTGTAAATTTAAAAGCTAGATTCATGTACAGAGATATACAGAGATTCATGTTATTCTATAATTCTATAGTAATAAGTAGTGTTTTTATACAGCAGGGTGGGTTGTTTTGACCCTGCACACCCTAGCAACTACCCAGAAACCTCTAGTAGCATTCTAGAACGCCTTAGCAACCACATAGCAACATACAGACGCAACCACTGGGGCAGAGATTTCATCTCTTGAATCTTCTTCATAATACATTATCATGACACCAGAAAGTTATTTCTAGTTGAATTATGCTCAATTTAACATTAACTTAATTTGACAAATTTGATCATTTTAGAGTAATTTGACAGAACTGCTAAATAGGATAATTTTATGCATTTGAGTGTCATACTGTGTGTTTCTTTATTGACAAAAAAATCAATTGTATTGTATTTTTTAGCTTTAATTTTAAACAAATACACTACGTTCAAAAGTCTGGGGTTAGTAAAAACATTTTTGAGTGAAATTAAACTTTTTATACAGCAAAGATATATCAATTTAAGTGACAGTAAAGACATTTATAATATTACAAAATATTTATATTTAAAAGAAATGCTGTTCTTTTGAAAATTTGTATTCATCAAAGAATCCTGAAAAATAAGTATAATCTTTTAATCTTTGATAATAACAATAAATGTTCCTTGAACACCAAATTAGCATATTAGAATGATTTCCGTAGGATAATGTGACACTGAAGACTGGAGTAATGATGCTGAAAATTCAGCTTTGCCAACACAGGAATAAATTACATTTTAAAATATATGAGAATAGAAAATTAAATTGTAAGAATATTTAAAAATATTACCATATTTTTACTGTAAAAAACTTTTGAACTGTAATATAATTTTAATTATCCATTAAATCTTAGTTATAAATGTTAATTGACTAGACATAGTATATTGTAATATGCCAGAGACTTGCACAGACTTTTACATGCAATGTGTTTTTTTGTTTGCATAAACAGTGGGTATAGAAAAGAATCAACCCCTTTAAAATAATCACATTTTGTTGCTTTGCGGCCTGAAATGAAGATGTGCACGTTATTTGTTTTATCCAGCTGTATTTATCCAGTGCAACTTATAACATCTAAGTAAAAAAACAGAATCACTGAGTTGGAAAAAGGATCACCCCCTTGTGTCAGTATTTTGTTGAAACACCTTTCTATCCTGACAAGTGCTCCAGTCCCTGCTGCTGAGAAACACCCTCATAACAGGATAATACCACCTCCAGGCTTTACTGGAGGAATGCTGTTATTTTTATGGTGAACTGTATTGGATTTCCACCAGACATATTGTTTGGTGTTGAGGCCAAATAATTTTAGTCTCATCTGCCTCAGAATCTTTAAGGTGCGTTTTGGCAAAGCTCAGTCGTGACTGCATGTGGCCTTTCTTAATGAGTGGCTTTTTTTTCTCTCCCATACAAGCCACATTTGTGGAGAATTTGTGATATTGTTGTCACATGCACACAATGACCACTCTTTGTCATAAATTCCTGCAGCTGCTTTAGAGTTGCTGTAGGCCTCTTGGTAGCCTCTCTGTCCAGTTTCCTCCTGGCTCTTTCATCCAGTTTGGAGGGACGTCCTGATCCAGGGAGGGTCTGTGTTGTACCAAATAAAGCTTTTGAAATTTGAGGCATTGATTAAGATTTGAGGCATTGATAAAGCCTTTGAATTTGTTTTTGTATCCATCTCCTGACTTGTGCCTGTCCACAACTTTATCCCGGAGATCTTTTGATCTTGTGTCTTGCCACCCATAGTTGATTGTTTGCTTCAGTTGCACTACCAAGGACTGGAAACAGGAAAGCTCTTTTCATGCTGAGCTAATCACAATGACCACAGCTAAAAGTCAAATATCTTTGTGTGCCATTAAGAAGGTGATTAGCTACAACTGATTGAGTTTTAGGAGGGGGGTGATTCTTTTTCCAACTCAGTGATTCTGTTTTTTCATTTATTTATTTATTTTTTCTGACATGTTGATATTATATCTTTCACTTGGATGTTATAAGATGCACTGAGTAAATACAGCAGGATAAAACAAAAACTGTGCCTGTCTTCATTTCAGGCTGCAAAGCAACAAAATGTGATTATTTTAAAGGGGAGTGATTCTTTTCTATACCCACTGTAATTCTGTGCAGTCGCAAATGGAATGGTTCTCATTTTTGGCAGAGCCGCAGCTCTCTGTCAGCATGTTTGATGTACTCTGAACATCCTGTCAGTCTGAAAGCAGCGAGATGTCTGAAGAGGCTGTCAGTCTTTCCAGCGTAGTCAAAATGAGACAGTGCTGCCGACACCTTGCCATCCCATCTCAGACACATTTACATTGAATCCATTCTCTGAAAGGTTTCCCCCCACCTTTCATGGGGAATCTGACAAAATGTTGATTCTACAATACATGGTGTGCTGCGTCGCTGCGAAAATAGTGTTCTTACTGCTGGCACACAGTCCCTTTAGGGGTGATACGGGGAGAAATGTATGCATACACAGACACATGTATTTGAGAAAGCAACAACAGATTTTGGAAAACTACACATGCACATATATACAGAACATAAGAGTATTCATGGTGGATCTGTCTCTTTATTTTGGCAGCCGCTGAGGGATCGTTTCTCGATGTACGACATGGTCATTCAAGCCTGCTCAAGGTGGATCACGTAACTCTCTCTTTATCACTTCTAGAGGCTGTCTGAAGGACAAAAGCTTAAGCTGACCCAACAAAACACACGTTTGTCACACACTTTGCATTGCTACAGTTGAGAAGAACAAGACCAACATTTCAGAATTCAGCTATTTGGTCTGTTCGATATGGGCTAAGCTTCAGAAGAGTTTCAAGATGTGTAACTAAGTACGGCATGACCCGACAGCAAGATATGGTTAATATTAGCACCATCTATTAAAATTTTATCATGCACTCTGGTATTGTGACTTTCTGTTTGTTCTAGAGTATATCAAGTAAGACAGTCAAACCAAAACCTGTTCATTCTCCTCTCATTCTGTGTCTGTGTGTGTGGCTCCAGACCTCGCTCAGGCTGTAACACAGTAGCCCCTTTGTGACCTGATAACATTTATAGTTGTAATGGATTTTTTTTTAATGGGCGTCATTAACTCGGACAAAGAGGGGTGAAAAAGATTGCTTGTACTTTTTCCCCTTGATATTTCAGCTTTACAGCATTATGTTCTGATATGTCTCCTTCAGTCATTTTTGTTTTACAGCTCGTTGAAGTTTTAGCGTTTTAATGCGTAGCTTTAGTACTAGACTCATGTCTTCAGTCACTGCCAAGATTATTCCACTGTATTAATGAATATTTTTCTTCATTTACTACTTGAAAGAAAAATAAAATTAGTAGTTTATTATTATTTTGTTTATTTGGTGTGAACTGCATGATAAAAAAAAGTGGTATGGCTTAGTGCGATTTTCAAGCCGCAAAAACTGTTATTTAGTTATTTAATATAGTAATATTTCTTATTTTGTTTAATAATTTATTTTAAAATAATTATAACAATTACTATTAATCTTTTTGTCATATTGCTATATAATCAAAAAAATTATGCCCTATGAACAAAGACAGCAAACCTGGAGCTTAAAAAAAGCTTTTTAAATTGCGATTAAAAAAAAAACAAAAACAATTTTTCAATCAATCAATCGTTGTTGGGTCATTTGAAAACACTGGAGACACTTTCATTTGGTACAAAACCATTTAATGATGTATCAAAAATGTAAAAATAATGGCCTTACAGCTTGGTATTTTACACAATACCAATATCCCACTAACTGAATTTGTTTCCAAGGCAAACAAGTGAGAGAAAGTCTGGCAAAACTGTATCTCCTTTCATTGGATTCACTCTTCTGAACTCAAGCAAGATCCCTGAACCTCATTAAGAGGAAATTGAATTTTCACAAACTATTCCCATCCTGTTCTATTCTAACCAAAGGGTTTGTCCTTTCCTTTCACCATCACACTGGCTGTAGTTCTTCCTCTGACAACCAACGTCTTTGAAGACTTATTTCAGTTTGTTTTCTTCGGACTCTTTTTCCTCTGCGGCTCCATCAACTGGACCAGGTTGAAATATATGATGAAGCCCAGAAAGTGGAGAAAGGAGAGGACGGAGACCAGCACTGGAAACAGATCGGGCAACTTGGCCGGAGGCTCCAACCACACACTCATAAAGCTCAACGCTGCCATGGCCACCAGTGAAAACCAGAACTGTAAAAGACAAAGTGACAACACTTATTACAAGAGAGAAGTACCAAGACAAAGGTTCATTAGTCCTAGTCAAGTGCTCGGCACGACACATCCTTGTAACCTGATGTTTATTTTCAACCCTGTTTCAGGAAGGTGAGTCGAGGTATAAACATTAACATGTCTATTTACGACAGATGGAGTGGAGGGATCAGTGGAAGTGCTGGTGTGATCAACGCGACCCCCAAATGAAACACTACCTACATCGTAGGGCCCCCTTATTTATGTCTCTTGTGTAAATAAATATATCTAGGCAAACCTGTGTTAATGACTCACGCTACACAAATAGCACACCTCCTGGTCTCGAACATTCACGCAAGGAGCTGTTGAAACGTTCAGTCCTCAAAAGCACTAGGAAGAGCATGGGGTCAAGCTAATGTGAAAGTCATGGGCCGTTCAGGTGGGCCAGTGTGCTTAACTGACTTATTCATAAGCATCGATGTCATTAACATCAGTGGTGTGGAGTAACAGGCTAACTGATGTCAGTGTTAACTTACTTTCCATTTAATGATCCGGCTGAGGTTGAGTTTAGGCAGCCAGTGCTGAGTGTGTTTGCGATAGAGGCCAAGTCTGAGCTCTTCTTCTGTACTTCTCTCTAAAGCAGAGAGCAGATACAAACTCAGAAAGAGGAACGCCAATGAGGTCACCACATAAGGCAACAGCAGACCGTCCTTCACCAGAAGGGGGAGCATACTGTGGAAAACAAAAAACATAAGTCTTAAAAACAAACAGAATCCAAGATGTGTACAATAACGGATTATGAATCCCTCTGTAATTTTTTGAAACAGCAGGGGGTTCAGACCGATGTAGCAATCATCATATACTTGTTACATCGTATAGATAAACTGACACCTAGTGGTGTGAATGTAAAATCAAGCAAATCTTTTCACTTACAAATCATCTTGGGTTATGCATGTAACCATGGTTCCCCGAGAGGGAACGAGACTATGCATCCTCTAGTGGACACTATGGGGACTGCCGCCAGCAGGACCAGTGTCTGAGGCACGTGTGAAACAACTCCAATCCCATTAGCCCACGTAGCCCTTGACGTCACAGGCAGGGGCCCGGAAGTATAAGAGGGCGCCTGCCGTACATGTCACCAACTTGGTTGTCAGAAGAACATGTGAAAACAGGCAAGCCCTTGGCATGGCGAGGGGACACAGAATCTCGTTCCCTGTCGGGGAACCATGGTTACATGCGTAACCCGAGATGTTCCCCTTCAAGCATCAAGAAGTGTTAGGAGCAAAGCGCGATTTAAGAGTAGGAACGCTTCTTATCCAACATCTTCCTGAGATCCGCTCTCTTTCTCTTAGTGCTCGCCCAACTCCTAGAGGGAGAAGGGGTGCGAGTTGCCACATTACTCTTCTGATTTGTGTTGTCACGGTACCAAAATTTCAGTATTCGGTACCAATACCAGTGAAAATCCACGGTTCTCGGTACCAATTTCGGTACCAAAGCAAAACACAAAAACATGCTAATTAAAAAATTTGACTATACTTTCATTTAATCCAAACTGTGTACATGTTTAAATTTTAAAGGGCTTTTGAAAACCTTCTAGAGTTATTCAGCCAAGAATAACTAAAAAAAAAGCCCAGAACTGCTTTTCTGACTGATATGGCACAAACAATTTTAACCATTTGTACATTCTCAAACACGCATATTTTAGATTCACAATTAATTTAAAAGCCTCTGGTGTGTAAAAATAGTAAATATCATCATGTCCTCTTGTTTTTTTTTTACCCTAATAAAAGTTATGGGAGATACTTCATTCTAATGCTCATTATATTAGCGTTAGCCACGCTTATGCTAATGATTAACTACTCTAATAACAGCGTTCATTTCAATCCGACATTCAAATTAAAATATTGAATAAAAGAGAGCACATCTGCGCACCTTTCGGATAGCGCATAAGAACCGGGTTGACCGGGTACTCGGTACCACCGGTACTTAAAAAAACCTGGTAACGTAACGTTTTCATTTTTTTAGTACCGACTTGGTACCAAAGTACCGGGTCTTTTGACAACACTACTTCTGATCCTGCCTATAATCCTCAGATCGAGACGGACCAGCCCCCTCAGAAGTTTTAAAGGAAGACTTGAGACGGCGGGGAATGAGCTTCCTGAAGGCAGTGGACTGCATCTTCGCCTCTCTGAACTTCTCGACTACCGCCTCAGCAGAGGTGCCGAAAAGCCCGGAAGGTGACAGCAGAGCATCAAGAAGAAAGGCTTTCTCACGAGATTTAACAGCAAATGCCTCTCCGTAGCCACCACTGCTACCATCGCACACCCAATGGCAGCAGCAGTCTGCTTAGTGGCACGAAGAGCCAAGTCTGTGATGCGGCAAACCCTTGTCCTCATCTAGGTCTTTAAGCAAGACAGCTTGGTAAGCTTGTAACACAGCCATTGTGTGCAAGGCTCCACTAGCTTGACTTGCCACCACATACACCCTGCCATTCAGATGCAAAGTGGTCTGGAGGACAGAGCAGGAGTCCTTAAAGAAAGCTTGCGAGTGTCTCCTCCACACGGGACATCTTCGCGTATCTGCGCTCAGCCACACCCTCAACAATAGCGTAATCTGTATGCTGAAAAAGATGCAGCCGAGCTGAATATGCACTGTCAAACAAACGGCTCTTGAAGACAACAAAAGTTGCTGACGTTCTTCGGCAGGCGCCCTCTTATACTTCCGGGCTTCCTGCCTGTGACGTCACGGGCTACGTGGGTCAATGGGATTGGAGTTGTTTCACACGTGCTTCAGACACTGGTCCTGCTGGCGGCAGTCCCCATAGTGTCCAGTAGAGGACGCAGCACAAGTTCCCTAGAAGGGAAAGCATTATTCGTAGTCAGCCAGGATAAATTTACTTCGCGATTGAAAGTGCAATAATGGGCGACCAAGATAAAGTTCCTAGCATTCAACTGGTCCTGCCATTTCAAAATGTATGGACACCTAGTGACGTGGATGTAGAATCACACAAATGTTTGCACTTAGTAGAAATGCATTATGCATTAGTCAGCCAAGATTAATTTATTCTGCAAATGAAAGTGTCTAATAATAGCAGGGTGATCAAGATAAAGTATGCAGTATTCTACTGGCCCTGTCATTTCAAAATGGTGGCCTCCATGAGGGGACCCTCTCTGTATGAAAAAAAAACTTTTGATTTAATCAATATTATGTCAGATTTAATCTTTTCAGTCAGTTTTACTCTGACTAAAATGGCTTATAATTTTAGATAAAATTATGTTTTAGTTGATGGAAAAAAGCTAAATTTAACCAAATATTTTATATATTAAACATGTTTACACATTTAAAAAATGTGAAAACTGTTCTGTGAAAAACAGATATCCAGAAACAATAACATTATTACATAAAATGTACTTAAGTACAATAAATAATAACAAGTATTGTGATACAATGTTATTTTTTCTTAACATATTTTCATTAACAGTATGTTTTAATTAAAATGGTTTAATTATCACAATGATGCCCATTTTTTCTGGTAGGTCTTCACTATTGCTCATAAAACATTTTCTGTAACTTGCATTGATGAGATCAACATATAGGTAATGCACTTGAACTCGCATAAGTATATTAGACATGGAAGTAAACTTTTAACTAACTAGCTTAGCTGTTTCCATAGGCATTTGGCTGAAAAACAATAATTTGCACACCAACCATATCATGAATAATACTGCTATTGAGAAAGTGTTGACAAAATAAAACAATCTTTGTGTTAGCAGAACTGGTCATGACGCAGAAAAAAACAATACTAGCTGTGAATTTTGATGGTGCAACATTTCGCCATAATGAGTAGAAAGTGTGCTAATAAATGGCGTGCATTTGGAGCATAGAAAACTGTGGCAATGTGTTGTCTCTGTATGTTCTTGTGGATAGTTCCCCTAATAGTGCAACAATTACTCTATCATAGAATATAACTCAATTATCTTCCATAACAAAGAACATCATGTCTTCAGCTAAAAACATAAATATGCAGGATTAAAACAGTTTTGTGGAAGCAGGCAGTGTGATTCCAGAGAATGGTGGGTTGTGTTTCTGTTTACACAAAGGGGTCTTAGTTTAATGGTATGTGGGCTATGTCATGTAATCCAGTGATTTCCTTACACTAAACCATGCACACAACAATTAGTGTGGACAGCTGGGACTCCCCTATTGGATACTACTTTTCCTCTCACTATATAGTCATTTGTTGATTTTGTTTCTATCTTAACCGTAAGGATTAATTTATTTATAGTACTGTGATTGTAATTTAGTAATACATACTGCTTGGTATCTTACCTGAAAGTTGACGTTAGTAGAAACCAAATGGCAATCAGAGGTATTTCGTTGATGACAAGGCAAACTGGCCTGTAAAACATATATTTGACTTTTAAGACTATATTTACTACATTACAGACTATATTTACTACATTACAGATATGTATGATACCAATGCTATAATTATGTAGTTGAGAGTGCAAGGACTAGGTATCAGTATCATCTCTTCTCAGTGATCCAGTCACTACACTTCCTCTGTCAGCTCATTTTTTAACACCCAATAGAGACCCTTAATCCAGAGACATGCCTTACTGATTGACTAACAGATGCAAGATATAGCACAACAATTAAAATCTGTTGCTTGCAGCTGGTTCTTTGCGTATGTGCATATGTTGTAAATCAAAATATATTATATTAAAATATATATTGCAAGAATACACATGCAGAATATGGAAAAATACTGCACTAAACAATTACTAACATAATTGAAGGTGAAGTTTGTAATGTCTAGAGATCAACCAATATTGCCTTTTTATCATAGGCTATTTTTATGATTATGTGTTTGATAACTGATATACATTATTTAATTAGTTTTATTTCTGCATTTTGACAATTATAACTACATCGTTTATAAGATAGACCCAACGTTAAAGTTGAAAAGCATAAAAATCTGTAAAAATATCAGTTAAGAATATCAGTATATCTTAAGTAGTTTCTAGTAATTGCTAAATAATAATTATTTTCAAGCATGTTTCCTTAATCTTCCTACCACCCCTTCTTCGGAAAAATATTCCAGCTATAACTCATGCCACTGGTTGAGCCAAAAAATCCAGTGCAAAGTTATGAAACTGAACACTTAATCTTAAAAATGATACTGTTATTTAGTCTGTATCAATGTCAATGTCATACATTTTGTCTACATCAATGTCAGTGAATTGAGCAAAAGTACTGTTTAAAGCAATTGGATCAAGTAGTATGAATTATATTCTGCTGCTTACAAGGCTGCTAGAAGGATAGACTTCTCATGGACTTGAAAGGAGAAGAGGAAAAAAGCCAGGGAGGAGTTTACCTATAATACAAGCAGATCAGGAGAGTCAGTGGTCAAAAATACAAACCACTGAACTGTCAAAGACAAACACATAAACATGACACCACTTACCAAGGTGAGCTTAAACTGCCATAGATTGGGTTTGGACAACAATTTTAAAGATGAAGGCAGGATGAACAACAGAGTAAGAGCAAAACTGAAAGAAAAAAGAAATAATGATTTAATTGAATACATCCATACATTAAAGGGATAGTTTTACCCAAAAATGAAAATTGTCATTAATTACTCACCCTCGTGTCGTTCCAAACCCTTAAGAACTTCGTTCATGTTCGGAACACAAATTAAGATATTTTTGATGAAATCCGAGCGCTTTCTGACCCTCCATAGACAGCAAGGGAACTACCACGTTCAAGGCCCAGAAACGTAGTAAGGACATAGTTAAAATAGTAAAAATTATTTTTTATGAAGCTACGAGAAAACAAAAATAACGACTTTAATTACTCAATTCTTCTCTTCCGCCACCATTCACAAGAGTACCATGACGCAGAGCGACTGACACGGAAGAGAAGAATTGTTGAATAAAGTCGTAAGTTTTCTTTGCGCACAAAAAGTATTCTTATAGCTTCATAAAATTACGGTTGAACCACTGATGTCACATGGACTATTTTAACGATGTCCTTACTACGTTTCTGAGCCTTGAACGTTGTAGTTCCGTTGCTGTCTATGCAGGGTCAGAAAGCTCTTGGATTTCATTAAAAATATCCTAATTTGTGTTCCGAAGATGAATGAAGGTCTTGTGGGTTTGGAACGACATGAGGGTGAGTAATTAATGACAGAATTTTCATTTCTGGGTGAACTATCCCTTTAATAAAAGATTAACTATTCACACAAATGGAACAGAGAAATACGATCAAGAGGCCCTGTTGCCAAAGCCCGTAATCTATCCCATGGAACTAGAGGACGCGGCTGCCTGATCTTTTTATACATCCTCACAGTCAACAAGAAAGATCCCAGCATGCAGGAAATGCATGAGATTCGGGGATGTCCTGCTGAGCACTCACAGAATTACTTGAACCCCTCAGTCATCATTCTCTTGGAGGAAAATGACCCTGTTAGAGATCAATGACACTAGTGGGACAGGAATCTGGTCCATCATGACAGATGCAAATGTAGGTGAGATAAACTACTGAAAAAGCATATAAGCCACGATAGTATTGTGGCGGGCCGCCACAAATAAATCAATGTATGGGAAACACAAGATCTAAATATTAAAAATTAAAATGAAACTTACCTGCTTGAACTCTTTCATTTGATCTGGGTGTCTGTCTTTAAAGTGTTTTGTTAGTTTGGTGTGTTTCCTACTTTTGATGTCGCCACGTCTCAGTGCTTTTATGAAGAGAGCACATCTGCGCACCTTTCGGATAGCGCATAAGAACCGGGTTGACCGGGTACTCGGTACCACCGGTACTTAAAAAAACCTGGTAACGTAACGTTTTCATTTTTTTAGTACCGACTTGGTACCAAAGTACCGGGTCTTTTGACAACACTACTTCTGATCCTGCCTATAATCCTCAGATCGAGACGGACCAGCCCCCTCAGAAGTTTTAAAGGAAGACTTGAGACGGCGGGGAATGAGCTTCCTGAAGGCAGTGGACTGCATCTTCGCCTCTCTGAACTTCTCGACTACCGCCTCAGCAGAGGTGCCGAAAAGCCCGGAAGGTGACAGCAGAGCATCAAGAAGAAAGGCTTTCTCACGAGATTTAACAGCAAATGCCTCTCCGTAGCCACCACTGCTACCATCGCACACCCAATGGCAGCAGCAGTCTGCTTAGTGGCACGAAGAGCCAAGTCTGTGATGCGGCAAACCCTTGTCCTCATCTAGGTCTTTAAGCAAGACAGCTTGGTAAGCTTGTAACACAGCCATTGTGTGCAAGGCTCCACTAGCTTGACTTGCCACCACATACACCCTGCCATTCAGATGCAAAGTGGTCTGGAGGACAGAGCAGGAGTCCTTAAAGAAAGCTTGCGAGTGTCTCCTCCACACGGGACATCTTCGCGTATCTGCGCTCAGCCACACCCTCAACAATAGCGTAATCTGTATGCTGAAAAAGATGCAGCCGAGCTGAATATGCACTGTCAAACAAACGGCTCTTGAAGACAACAAAAGTTGCTGACGTTCTTCGGCAGGCGCCCTCTTATACTTCCGGGCTTCCTGCCTGTGACGTCACGGGCTACGTGGGTCAATGGGATTGGAGTTGTTTCACACGTGCTTCAGACACTGGTCCTGCTGGCGGCAGTCCCCATAGTGTCCAGTAGAGGACGCAGCACAAGTTCCCTAGAAGGGAAAGCATTATTCGTAGTCAGCCAGGATAAATTTACTTCGCGATTGAAAGTGCAATAATGGGCGACCAAGATAAAGTTCCTAGCATTCAACTGGTCCTGCCATTTCAAAATGTATGGACACCTAGTGACGTGGATGTAGAATCACACAAATGTTTGCACTTAGTAGAAATGCATTATGCATTAGTCAGCCAAGATTAATTTATTCTGCAAATGAAAGTGTCTAATAATAGCAGGGTGATCAAGATAAAGTATGCAGTATTCTACTGGCCCTGTCATTTCAAAATGGTGGCCTCCATGAGGGGACCCTCTCTGTATGAAAAAAAAACTTTTGATTTAATCAATATTATGTCAGATTTAATCTTTTCAGTCAGTTTTACTCTGACTAAAATGGCTTATAATTTTAGATAAAATTATGTTTTAGTTGATGGAAAAAAGCTAAATTTAACCAAATATTTTATATATTAAACATGTTTACACATTTAAAAAATGTGAAAACTGTTCTGTGAAAAACAGATATCCAGAAACAATAACATTATTACATAAAATGTACTTAAGTACAATAAATAATAACAAGTATTGTGATACAATGTTATTTTTTCTTAACATATTTTCATTAACAGTATGTTTTAATTAAAATGGTTTAATTATCACAATGATGCCCATTTTTTCTGGTAGGTCTTCACTATTGCTCATAAAACATTTTCTGTAACTTGCATTGATGAGATCAACATATAGGTAATGCACTTGAACTCGCATAAGTATATTAGACATGGAAGTAAACTTTTAACTAACTAGCTTAGCTGTTTCCATAGGCATTTGGCTGAAAAACAATAATTTGCACACCAACCATATCATGAATAATACTGCTATTGAGAAAGTGTTGACAAAATAAAACAATCTTTGTGTTAGCAGAACTGGTCATGACGCAGAAAAAAACAATACTAGCTGTGAATTTTGATGGTGCAACATTTCGCCATAATGAGTAGAAAGTGTGCTAATAAATGGCGTGCATTTGGAGCATAGAAAACTGTGGCAATGTGTTGTCTCTGTATGTTCTTGTGGATAGTTCCCCTAATAGTGCAACAATTACTCTATCATAGAATATAACTCAATTATCTTCCATAACAAAGAACATCATGTCTTCAGCTAAAAACATAAATATGCAGGATTAAAACAGTTTTGTGGAAGCAGGCAGTGTGATTCCAGAGAATGGTGGGTTGTGTTTCTGTTTACACAAAGGGGTCTTAGTTTAATGGTATGTGGGCTATGTCATGTAATCCAGTGATTTCCTTACACTAAACCATGCACACAACAATTAGTGTGGACAGCTGGGACTCCCCTATTGGATACTACTTTTCCTCTCACTATATAGTCATTTGTTGATTTTGTTTCTATCTTAACCGTAAGGATTAATTTATTTATAGTACTGTGATTGTAATTTAGTAATACATACTGCTTGGTATCTTACCTGAAAGTTGACGTTAGTAGAAACCAAATGGCAATCAGAGGTATTTCGTTGATGACAAGGCAAACTGGCCTGTAAAACATATATTTGACTTTTAAGACTATATTTACTACATTACAGACTATATTTACTACATTACAGATATGTATGATACCAATGCTATAATTATGTAGTTGAGAGTGCAAGGACTAGGTATCAGTATCATCTCTTCTCAGTGATCCAGTCACTACACTTCCTCTGTCAGCTCATTTTTTAACACCCAATAGAGACCCTTAATCCAGAGACATGCCTTACTGATTGACTAACAGATGCAAGATATAGCACAACAATTAAAATCTGTTGCTTGCAGCTGGTTCTTTGCGTATGTGCATATGTTGTAAATCAAAATATATTATATTAAAATATATATTGCAAGAATACACATGCAGAATATGGAAAAATACTGCACTAAACAATTACTAACATAATTGAAGGTGAAGTTTGTAATGTCTAGAGATCAACCAATATTGCCTTTTTATCACAGGCTATTTTTATGATTATGTGTTTGATAACTGATATACATTATTTAATTAGTTTTATTTCTGCATTTTGACAATTATAACTACATCGTTTATAAGATAGACCCAACGTTAAAGTTGAAAAGCATAAAAATCTGTAAAAATATCAGTTAAGAATATCAGTATATCTTAAGTAGTTTCTAGTAATTGCTAAATAATAATTATTTTCAAGCATGTTTCCTTAATCTTCCTACCACCCCTTCTTCGGAAAAATATTCCAGCTATAACTCATGCCACTGGTTGAGCCAAAAAATCCAGTGCAAAGTTATGAAACTGAACACTTAATCTTAAAAATGATACTGTTATTTAGTCTGTATCAATGTCAATGTCATACATTTTGTCTACATCAATGTCAGTGAATTGAGCAAAAGTACTGTTTAAAGCAATTGGATCAAGTAGTATGAATTATATTCTGCTGCTTACAAGGCTGCTAGAAGGATAGACTTCTCATGGACTTGAAAGGAGAAGAGGAAAAAAGCCAGGGAGGAGTTTACCTATAATACAAGCAGATCAGGAGAGTCAGTGGTCAAAAATACAAACCACTGAACTGTCAAAGACAAACACATAAACATGACACCACTTACCAAGGTGAGCTTAAACTGCCATAGATTGGGTTTGGACAACAATTTTAAAGATGAAGGCAGGATGAACAACAGAGTAAGAGCAAAACTGAAAGAAAAAAGAAATAATGATTTAATTGAATACATCCATACATTAAAGGGATAGTTTTACCCAAAAATGAAAATTGTCATTAATTACTCACCCTCGTGTCGTTCCAAACCCTTAAGAACTTCGTTCATGTTCGGAACACAAATTAAGATATTTTTGATGAAATCCGAGCGCTTTCTGACCCTCCATAGACAGCAAGGGAACTACCACGTTCAAGGCCCAGAAACGTAGTAAGGACATAGTTAAAATAGTAAAAATTATTTTTTATGAAGCTACGAGAAAACAAAAATAACGACTTTAATTACTCAATTCTTCTCTTCCGCCACCATTCACAAGAGTACCATGACGCAGAGCGACTGACACGGAAGAGAAGAATTGTTGAATAAAGTCGTAAGTTTTCTTTGCGCACAAAAAGTATTCTTATAGCTTCATAAAATTACGGTTGAACCACTGATGTCACATGGACTATTTTAACGATGTCCTTACTACGTTTCTGAGCCTTGAACGTTGTAGTTCCGTTGCTGTCTATGCAGGGTCAGAAAGCTCTTGGATTTCATTAAAAATATCCTAATTTGTGTTCCGAAGATGAATGAAGGTCTTGTGGGTTTGGAACGACATGAGGGTGAGTAATTAATGACAGAATTTTCATTTCTGGGTGAACTATCCCTTTAATAAAAGATTAACTATTCACACAAATGGAACAGAGAAATACGATCAAGAGGCCCTGTTGCCAAAGCCCGTAATCTATCCCATGGAACTAGAGGACGCGGCTGCCTGATCTTTTTATACATCCTCACAGTCAACAAGAAAGATCCCAGCATGCAGGAAATGCATGAGATTCGGGGATGTCCTGCTGAGCACTCACAGAATTACTTGAACCCCTCAGTCATCATTCTCTTGGAGGAAAATGACCCTGTTAGAGATCAATGACACTAGTGGGACAGGAATCTGGTCCATCATGACAGATGCAAATGTAGGTGAGATAAACTACTGAAAAAGCATATAAGCCACGATAGACTTCAAGCAAAATCGAAGAACTGCTGTGGCGTCATTTTAAACAAAATCAGGCCAAAGCAAAGTTTGTTTGAGTTTCAGGAGTTGAAAACAGCTTGCCAAAGTGAACTTTCCAGAAAACTTTGCTCTGGCTGGTAAACACCTTCTTAAACTACTATTGGTCCATGGCGATTACGTAATAGGTAGGTAAGCTCTCGGGCTCCGCCTTCTTTGATGTGGAAATATTCTGTTCAGTCCATCAAGGTCAGACGTGAGTAAAAACATGAACAAACTGGAGAGCTGCTTTTTAATAGAAAGTGAAGATGTAATTATAATCGAAAGCGACACTGACATTGTTTTTTTATATTTAATACTGTAAAGCTGCTTGCTTTAAAGCAATTTACTGTGTATAAAGTGTTAAATACGTGACATGACTGGACTGCCGAATTGCAGAGCTCTTGCAAACATATCGAACATCGTTATGATCAGATGCTTTCTTAATTGCCGTTTTCTCATCACTGTCATTTTTGTTATGCGTTTTTATTGAATTGAATATGTGCAGTCCATAGAGTTCTCAGCAGCATGTGTGGTGTCGCTAATGCCGGGTACACACTGCTCGACTTTTCCCACGATTTTCATTCGCCAAATGGCCGAAATTGGATGCAAATCGATGAATGACAATCATGTAGTATGTATTATCAAAGACTCGATCTGAGATCGAGTGCAAGTGCAATTCGTCACAGATGCCGGTGAAATATTTAGCATGCTAAATATCTGGACCTGTCTGCGACTCCTGCAGTATGAAATGTGTTTTGACTGGAAATTACATCGGCGACAACCTACAGCCAATGAAATACAGCCAGTGCTTCTCACTGCAAATGAGTACACAGACAATTTGTATCACAAGCTTCTTGCGGGCTACAGTTTTTAAACAGGAAGAAATAATCCAGTCTCGAACAACAGATCTTATCTCACACGTGATCTTAAGTTGTATCCTGTATTGTTCCTGTATTACTTCTCACCTGTGTTTGGTTTTGAAACATAGTTTGTAAACAAGACATTTTCACACTGAACCTAAGATAATTTTCTTGTCTTTTAAAAGTCATATCCATTTGCTTATAAAACTACATGAAAAGGTGAACTCAGAGCTGACCGATGTAGCAGTGGTCTTGTACATATACTGACACCTAGTAGTGTGGATGTAGCATCACGCCAATGTTAACACTTACTAGAAATGCATTATTTACAGGGGACCAGCTCTGTTTGAAATAAAACAGGTTTTAGTAGGCTGCTTATATAACTTCAGACTTCATCTCACATGAATATACATGATTTTAAACATATTTTTAAAATCTTGTTGGTTTCTTAATTTGGAAAACTTTTTATAAGGAAATCATGTTTGAGTTCACCCTGAAAACAGACCACTGAGAAAATTAATTACGGACCCTGCAAAAATAAGACTAAACAAAGACACAAAAAATTATTAAGTGAATAGTCAAAGAAATCATCTTGACCAAACCCTTGCACCTGCAGATTAGTGTCCACATATCAGTATCTCAAAATCTCTCCGATATCATTAACTACCCATAATCCCACTGTGCCCTCTGTTATAATGAGATGTTTTTCACAAACATGGTAAGATGGAATACACTGAGAAAGATTTTGAGGAGGAGATACATAAAGAGACAAAGGAAAAGGAGAAAGGGTGGTGGGTAAATGGATGGTGAAGGATTACCTGAGGAACAGCTGAGTCTCTCTGGACAGCAGGGTCTTGATCTTTATCAGCACATTCAAGCTGCACCATGTGTTAGCCACTTTATCCTGTCAACAAACACATGCTGTCAAAGTCACTAAACTAATGCGCTCCGGACAGAATGACACAATGAGAACAAATGATACAGTGACCGCTAGGTCAGTTTTCAAGTTCTTTATGAACAGATGTTTAAACTAGGCTATAGTATAAATTCAGGGGTGTTAACTCAATTTAAATTAATTTTATGCTTTAATAATTAATATTGGGGTAAAATAAAAGGGAGTTCATTTAAATGTATGCAGATGCCTTTAAATTACATATACATACAAAATTTAAATTTAAAATATAGAGAATATTACATAACACGTATCACACATATGACACAGGAAGGATGTATTGTATATTTATTGATTTCTCTAAAGCTTTTGACAGTGTCCAGCATAATCTTTTGTATTTCACTCTCATTAAAGGAGACATATTATGCCCCTTTTTACAATATGCAATATACGTTTCTGGTGTCCCCAGAATGTGTCTGTGAAGTTTCAGCTCAAAATACTCCACAGATCATTTATTATATAATTTTGAAAATGCCTATTTTGAGTGGAAGCAGAAACACGCTGTTTTTTGGGCCTGTCTCTTTAAATGCAGTTTTCTGAGCACACACATCCGAAGCACACGAACAGAAAGCGGCCACCAGACAGCATGTGAGTACTAAACTAAGTTCTCATTCACACACAAGTTTACGTTAAAAACACACGAGTTACAAAAACAGTCGGTTATGTCTGTGAAGGTAAACAGCTGGGAAATAAATCACATTTTTATTTTAGATCTGTGTGGCAGCAGCAATATACAGTAAATAAATCAATAAATCCACTGCTCTCTTGTCTCCTCTGAGGCTGGGACAGTGAATAGTGTTCTGTGCTCGTCTGTGCAGCCAAAGGCAGAATAGTTAGCATGTTTTGCTCAAACTCGCCATGGCATTAGAGCTGGTACACCGTTGTCGCTTGCAAAATCAAAATGACGGTGCCATGGGTGGAAACAACCCTAGCTACAGTCTAGTATAAAAACATTGACGTAGTGTCCGTGACGTCACCCGTAGGTTTCTGAAGACCGTTTTTGAAGCTCAAAGTGGGTGGAGCGGGCCATCGCCATCTTGGCAGCGCGTCACCACGCGTCACTCCCGGATAATCGAAAATGGGCAAAGAGGCAGGAGATGGTTGCTGAAACCACGCCCACCTAGCTCGACGGAAGTGACAGCAGCGGCAATCCATCTGTCACTCAAGTGGCCACGCCCTTAATTATGCAGAACTTTAAGGCTTAATATCATTTAAACGGATGAGTTATAATAAAATTCACCCCCTCACAGTTGTCATGAAGGGAAAAATTAGCTATATAGACCAAAATAATTTTTTGAACCAGGCTTTAAACATGTTTTTTTCTGCTGTAAAGTTGGGCATTTTAACATGGGGAGTCTCCCTTTATGGGAATGACTCCCTTTTGGAGCCAGCCTCTAGCAGTCAGTCGATGAATTGAAGTTTTAGTTACTTCCATGTTGGTTTCACAAGAGAGACCGGAAGGTTGCCGCTTGGTGGAAACGTGCAGATTAAGGGGCGGTAATATTATGAGATCCCTTTGCCACGTCACCAAGGGAGCTAAATCAGACGCGCTGGAAAAGTTTTTAGTGTATTGAGATCTATGTATTCTAAACTTAAATCATGTGTGAAAGGAACCGATGGTCTTACAGAGTATGTTGGCTGCACCATTGGTGTAAGACAGGGCTGCATGGTGAGTCTACTTTTGTTATTCTTTTTTTAAATGAATATATAACAATGTTGAAGAAAAATTTTAAAAAGGTATTCAAATTGAAAGTATCCCAGAAGTACAGACCTTGTTATATTCTGATGATATGGCTAATATAGCAGATACAATTGGAGGGTTACAGAAACAGAATGAACAGCTGGAAAAATTTTGTAATCTTTATGGTATGAGAGTGAATTTGAGTAAAACGATAATTATGGTTTTTAGCAGAGGGGGCTCTCTAAATAAGGATGAAAAATGGTATTTTGCTGGTGAACAGATTGAAGTGGTTAATTGTTACAAATATCTGGGTATGTGGTTTACACCAAAATTGTCATGGTGGAAAACCCGACAACGTTTAGCCAGCCAAGGCAAGAAAGCAATGCTTTCCTTGCTAAGGTTTGTTCGTAAACATAAAATTAGCTGCAATCAATCTTTGTATTTGTTTGATCGCATGGTTGCACCGATACTTTATTATGGATCTGAGATATGGGGTTTTGAACCAGTGGAGTGTATTGAAAATGTCTGTGTATACAGTACAAGTTTGAGCAATGTAGCCGTCTTGGGTGATCTGGGTAGATTTGTATTGTCAACTTATATGAAAAGATGTATCACGTATTGGATAAAACTAGTGTCTATGTCTAATCATCGTTATCCAAGAAAATGTTATAATATGCTTTTTCAATTAGATGAAGTATAGAGAAACATGGGTTACTCGTATTAGAGTTCTGCTGTATTTTTATGGTTTTTCTAGTGCCCGGGAGGCTCAAAGTGTAGGTGATATAAGAACATTTACAGCTATTCTTAACCAACGATTGAAAGAAAAAGCACACGAGGCATGGTATACATCAGTTTTGGAAAATAATAAGTTAAATATATATTCACAATACAAGTCTTTATTGATACAAGAGAGCTAATATATTCACAATATAAGTCTTCGTTGATACAATAGAGCTACATTACGTCTGTGTATAACATGCAATTGGTACGATCATTGTTCCTTTTTAGATGTTCAAGTCACCATCTTGCTATAGAAACAGGCAGATGGAGTAATACACCAATGGCAAAGAGAATCTGTAGTTATTGTAAGTTAACATCAAATATTTCTGTGAAAGAAGATGAGAAGCATTTTTGTATGATTGCTCTTTGTATGATTTGCGTAAGAAATACTTAGGTGATCTTGTTCTTGTTGGTGATGTTTGTATTGATGTGTTAAAAGGGTCATATGATGCAATTTAAATTTTTCCTTTCTCTTTGAAGTGTTACAAGCTCTTGGTGCTTAAAGAAGATCTGTAAAATTGCAAAGACTAAAGTCTCAAATCCAAAGAGATATTCTTTATAAAAGTTAAGAGTCAGCCACGCCTACCTAAAACGGCTCGTTCTAACACGCCCCGGTGTGCGTAGAGGGTTGATATATATATCATGGAATGAAGAAAAGATTATCTGCCATGTCATTATGATTTTGTGGAACTATGGGCCGAGAGGCCATGTAATAAATTTGAAACTGAAACTTAAAACATATCACACATCAATACTGAATATAAAGAAACAGCATGCACCACTCTTGATAACTAATAAACCACCTAAAATCTAATATTAAAGGTAATATTTTATTAACTTCCTGTAATAAGTAACTTTCTGTTGCTAAAAATATGAATAATATATTATGAATATATCGTGTCAAAAAGAAGGATAAGTGTTTTTTTTTTTTATATCCCAAGCTATGTTAGGCCTCAGTGTTACTTTAGCATTAATTATATACTATAATTAATGACAGTATTTATTAGTATTTTGTTATTAAAATTATATATTTTAATCGATTTTCACTTTAATTTTGTCATGTAGTTATTATTTAAAAATATTTCTACATAGCTTTATTTTTAAGTTGTATTAAATTTAGTATTTCTACTTATTTAGTTCAGTTAGTTGCCAAGGCAACATTTCTCATTTCATTTGATTTTTTTATTATTTTTTTCTAATAATCTAATATTTATATTTTATTTTATTTCAGCTTTATTCTAATTACCTACAACTTTTTAAATAGTTTTTGTTTTAGTAAACTTCTGAAATAACCACACATTTATGATCATGCTTACAAAATTAGCACTGACATATTAGGTAAGTATCTTTAAATGGTATGTGGCTTTTGAAGAGAAAGCAAGTAAGTGACATTACTCGGCGTAATCATTTCCCAACTGAAGGCGCAATAAAGATTCCTGTGGGCATTCTTGGGGGGCATTGGTACAAAGGGCAAGGGTGAAGTATTACGCTCCCATTAATTTTCCCGTCAAGTAACCATGATGTCAAAAAAAGCTATGCACTTATTTGTAAACTTATGGACACAGGGTTAAATGACTGTCCTAATGCATAACAAGGACATGAATAACGTCACCGAGGTTGCAAAGACTACGGTTTTACCACATACAGAAGACCAACTTGCACCCTTTAGGAAACCGATCCGTTCTGAGTGCTCGTTGACCTTTCTGCTGGGGTACCGACATGTGATTCCTCAAAGACTGGTGGCCTTGAACAGTTGTGCAACAACAAAATTAGTAAATGTTATGATAGTTTCAGCCCTGCATCTGAGAAATTCTCCATAGTGCTCAGTCCTCGAAAACACAGCTGCTGTCTTTCACAGTTGTGTGAAGACGAGTGGACACTACAGCTGAAGATGATACCCATCAATGATGTTTTTTTGTCTATACAGTGAAAGTCAATGAGGTGCATTGACAAACCATTGACTTTCATTGTGCGGTCCAAAAAAAAAATTATCCGTGTTCCACAGAATTTTAAACGACTAACAGGTCTCGCCATACTTGCCCAGTTGATTAATCTCAATACATTAAAACAATTGTTTTGTATTACACGTTTTCTAAAATGTTGTGTTAAAATTTGCAAATAAGGTATTATCTAATTAAATACACAATAATTTGCATACATTTCTACAACAGAAATCTAAAGATGTGTATTGTAAATGAAATCTACAGATGCAAATAAATAAACTGTAATAAAATTCACACTTAAATTTTGAATTTGGATGTTTTCTTTGCAATAGTCTGAAAGACGACATGTTATGGAAGCAAAATTAGCCTAAAATCTAAAAATTGACCAGTGCTTGAAAAACAATGGTTTTGCCTATAGTAGTGTCATGCCTAATTTAAATTTTTTTAATTTTACTTTTTTCTACAGACAAATAACACCGATTTATCTATCAGCTAAATATCACCTAGCTTTACCATCCTCTGATGTATACATGATAGCAACAGCCAAGACTCGCTTAGCGATCCCTCCGTCACAAATGCTCAAGGCTCTAGTTTAGAATTACTCACACCTTGTGTATTATGTTAGCCTCATGTCAGGCAAACGCATGATATATTCCGGGCCCTGAGCCCTGCAGAATTTTCAATTACTTCTCACAACACAGCTCCTTTGACAACAGGGTTTTTGGGTCTATTTCAAAAGCAAGCCACAGTACTTGTTCACCATGTATTTCAGTATTGACTTGACAAAAAGAGATCACAACTGGCTTTAGACAATGAACAGGACACAGCTCTGGCTTTCCAATAAACTCAACGTGAGACCCTTGTTTACTTATCAGATCTAAAGGATAAATCCTGCACTAGACCCAAGGGGTTTCATTGAGGTAATCTATGAATACAGAAAGATCTGACTGGCAAGATGTGTATTAAGTCAGTCTTCTATTTGCATTAATATCACAGATCCAAAATTGAACACAGTTTACAGTTTACTGTATGTATCTACATAGGATTCTAGCAACAGCGTATTTATGCATTCATGCATGCATACAGAGAAAAATGTAATGCATGTGGATAAGGATTTCAAGGGCATTTCCAAGCCGACCCTGCATTGGACATTTTATAACAGGCAAGCACAGAGCTGAATAAGCATCACGCTGTAATGATGGGTTTAAAACTCACTCCTTAAGCAATAAATGTGACTGATTTACATAGATTTTACCTCAGTGTTTTACATAAGTAAAGCTCAAAGCCCGATACCCAATTGTGCAAATACTGTTGTGAATGTTAGCAAATAGTAAACATGTATTCCTCAATTTTCAAGGCAAGGTAATCTCAGTTATCCAACCATTGGTTCAAAAGAATCTAAAAAGGAACCTATTTAGATGAACTTGAAGGTGTTTGCCATTGATGCTTTGTGATGCTACATATACATTATGTGAATTACCTCAAACAAACCCCGACCAACGGGAAAAAGGCGATGAAGAACTTGCAGAGGTTGTTTGGGGTCAGACAAAAAGGGCATCCAGCAGAGGGCAAAAGTCACCAGTACAGTCAACGAGATCTTTGCCAGATGAAAAAATCTGGGTACACAATGTAGCAATATACTTTGGTTATACAAATGTCTTTCAATTTATTCTGTGAACACAAAGATATTTAAAAAAAAAAATTTAAGTCATTTTGTATCATTCAGGGATGACATTGTCTGTTTTCCTAACAATTCAGTAAAGGTGCTCTAACAGTTTTTTATGATTTGCTGACCAACACAACAATCTTGAACATTTTAAAAATTGTATACATATTTGTCATAAAATACTGTTTATTTGATATTAATAAGTGGAAACAAAATACTTGAAATGTGTTACACATTCGAAAAAATATTTTCCATAATTAATGGGTCATAAATAAGGTCACTCGATGACTTGAGTAGAGACAGCATGCTCTCACAGTTTTTCAGTGTACTGTATACTGGAGCAACTAACACCTCTCAGCTGTAGAATTCTTGTATGTGTGTCTACTGAACAAGGAAATGCATTGATTGTGATAAATAAATCTGACACCATTTAACATATTTGAATAATGTCAAAAGCCTATAATTGGTCTCCCAAAATGTCACCAATTGGCAGGCCAACTTTTACTACACTAGGTTTTATACCTTCTGGAATCTCTTGAGGTCTGCTTAAATAACTCAATTAATCAATTTTAACATATTATTGCAATAATTAATTTAAAAAAAAACACAATGTTTATGCAACAACCCAAGAGACTCACCCTCTCCCAGTCAAGCCCTGTTTGATGCACTTGCCCAGGAGATAGCAGAAGAAAGGCAGTGAGTGGGCAAACTAATCCACCAATGCATCTGCCTCTAAATGCCCTTGGTACATTGTTACTAAATCAACAAATGCAAGACAGCAAAGAGCAGAGTGCTTGCACTGAAATTGGCTGCAGGACTGGTGTAGAAATGCATATACACTGCATACAAAGTCAAACTGAATAATAAAAGATAATTAAAAAAATGCCACCTTTAGAGATGAAGTGCCTAATGTTGAATATTAAGGATTTGTTATTTTCAGGCATAAATAAGGCTATGACACTTGCAGCTGGACTGAAAGCTGGACACATGCAGCTAAAGTTGTAATTAGCATTGTCAACAGATTTATTAATTGTGTGCAATCTTCCATTAACAGACGTCGATTCGATATCGATTCTCAAAAGACGCGAATCGATCTTTTCCGGGATTTATTTCAGCACACATTTAAAGGGGTCATATGATGCTGCTAAAAAGAACATTA